AACCTGTGTTTCAACGGAATGTAAGCCTCTTTTCACATATACTCTGTTGACGTCATCTATCAGTAGCAACACTTTATGCATAATGATCACTCTCCTTCTTCCTGGATTCAAATTTCTCGCTTCTTCTATATCAAGCTTAGGGAGGGTCCTGAATTACTACGAATACTGCCCTAAGATTTATTCCTTTGGTCATGCTTTTGTGGTTGGGTCTACTTTCCTGTATGTTACTTCCTCGATTCTAGTATCTTCCCGACCTTTTCTTCATTTCGTTGTTTAAATCTTATTCCCTTTTCCAGTTCAGTGTCTTGATAATATCTTAGTTTGTTTTATTCTGTGCGACACCATCGTTACATGGAGAGCTTGGGAAATTTGGAACTCACAGTACATATTGCCGGCAAGAGGGACAGAGGAAGCAAGCTACTTGTGCAAATAGTTGGCAGATCAGGGTTTAGAAGAGATAACAAACAAAAAACATTTACTAAGAACTATTTTATTTTTTTGATTGATTTGTTTTCTACGACTTATCAACCCTTTGCAGATTATTTAAAGATAGAAAATAGTTTTAGATTGTAAGACTTTTTTCAGATAATAATGGTTTAGTGATAGAAGTCTTACTAATTAATCCATAGATTAACAATTTTAACAAAATATTACAAGAAAAAGTGAATATAACGAAGCAAACGGGAATTGAAACTCGGCTCTGAGTTTAACAATTGCGTGCTATTATCTATTACACCATCCGCACGTCCAAGCTTACAGCACCTGGTATTTCCAAGTGGTTGCCCATCTATGAATTCTGCCCAAAGATTTATTTCATTGGTCATGCTTCTGTGGTTAAGTGGAGTTTACAGTATTTTACTTCATTGATTCCAGTATTTTCCCGACTTTTTCTTCCTTTTGTTCTTTAAATCTTATTCCCTTTTCCTGTTCAGTGTCTTGAGGATGTCTTAGTTTTGTAGTTCAATTCCATTTTTTGCTTTTTATTTTATTTTATGCATATCATTACATCATATCGAAAACTTTCAACCTCTAAACATAGTTGGAACAGTCATTTTGAGTGTACTAATAATTACTAATACTATCTTCACCCACATGGCTGTTTTAGTTTTAGGGAAATGTCCTTCTAGATTTTAAATCCCAGAATATTTTTTGCTTTTTAATATTTTCTGTTAACAGTTTCTGATTTATGTTCATACTACTTTACTCTAGTTTGACGATCACGCAGTTCACAGTAAATTACCATTCGCACTTAATGCTGTATATTGTTTGTATTCTTTCTAATCAATTGTGCAGATCATTGTTTGATTAAATCTCTCTTTTCTGTCGCCTTTTGAAAACATTTGCTATTTTTTCTGTTTTTCGATTTTAGCTTTTACGTAATTATCATTCACATTGGTTTAAAATAGTAAGCTATCTTAAGAAACAAATGATATTAAATCTCACGTAGTTTTCTTAGTCGTCTACAGACAACCAACGGAAATTTCTTACATCTATTTCCAACCAAAAAATGAATGCCAAATCTGAAATACCTTGCAATTAGTCATAAGTATTAATTAGGCTGACGATAATTAGTTGCCTATATTCTGGACAGTAGAAAAATGAACTTATTTCTGTTCATAAGTATAAAAAAATATGGTATTGTTAGCATTTTTTAACCAACATTTCATCGAGGGGATCTCTAATCCTCGTTTTCCCTTAATCTCAAACAAGAATTACTGTTTCTACTATTTACTACTAATTGTAAAGATGACTTGAAGTACAATGAACACAAGAGGCTGTGTGAAAACAAAATTATCAACATTTTTATCAGTTTTGAGAAGACACAAAATTTATAGATATATAGATTGATGTCAATTCAAGCCATATATCCTCCTTTTTTAATATAAATATATATAAATTTACTTTTTCTTTAGCTTCAGATTTAGATATATGATTCCTATTCCTATTTGCTTGTATATATGTTTATGTTTCACACATGAAAATGCATAAATGGGACATTTTTATTAAATCAACATTTTTCCTGTTTTCTATGCATATTTAGTTATTGTGCATCTGTGTACAGTTAACTATATGAAAAGTATGTTTAGTCATTAGTTGGAAATACAATAAATTAAAAATTTATATGTGTTCGAATATTTGTTTCCCCCCACTGTGTGTATATATATATATATATATATATTATGAATAGATGTGTGTGGATGTACATTTATCTGTGTGCATGTATGAAAACCAATAGCAAACATGTTGATACATAGATATTATATTTTTTGTATATCTAAGTAAATGTGGATGTATGTATATATTTGTTTAAATGGATATATCATGATATTTGTGTGTACATTTCTATTATATTTAAAACTACATATGAGATGTATATATTTGTATTTGGAGATATGTAAGTGTGTGTATATGAGTATTTGTATATGTGTATAGTTATTTTCCAAGCTTAGCTCAGATGTGGCACAAGGGCGAAAGTATGGGGCATCTAGTGAGGATCGAACTCACTTTCCAGTTGTAACTAATCTAGCGAGACAAGCTTGCTAACCATTACACCACGCCGAGGTGCCCATTTGTATATGTGTATATATTATTATTTAATAATATTTTTCTTATTACCTACTCCATCTAAATAAAATGGACTACTCCACTATCATTACAGTACGGAATAAATATCAATATTTAAATTATGCAACGGTTAGTTTTCAAACAGCACCTGACGCTGTGTATAAATCTCATAGTTGTCCTACCGGTGAGGATAAGAATATATATCTGCAGTATAGAACGTGACGTTCACACACACACACACACACACATATATATATATATATATATATATATATATATATATGTGTGTGTGTGTGTGTGTGTGTGTGTGTGTGTGTGTGTGTGTGTGTGTGTGTGTGTTAATAATAAAAATGAGCTTCCCGATAGTAATCAAACCTATATTCTCTTTTTAAATGATGGAATAATCTTTCAAGTCAAGCGTGTCGTACCATTAAAACACTAGAAGTCATTATAATTATGCAAGCTTTAATAAGGACAACTGACAAATTTTCGTAAAAAATCTCGCTTAAATGAAAATGAGACGCTAATATACATGAGCTGTCCTGAAAAATCAAGGACAGAGAAAAAATTTTCTAATGTTTGGTCAAGTGGTCAAATTTAGAAGAGTGGGTCGGTCAGAGAATTTTGCAACATTCTCTCGCGTAAATGCAGAAAGCAATTCCGAAATAACTGACTAGGGTTAAATAACACCGCTTCAAGCAAAAAGTCCTTTTCTTACACTTCTAGCCTTTTGCTAGGCATGATAAATCAAAAGAATATGCAAAAACATACAGACCAGATATACATTCTCAGAAAAAAATCGTGTTTTCAGTGATGGAAATCTGAGCTTCTTATCAATGTTCTTAAGTACAAAATTACATTTGCGCATATGCGTATACGTGAAAACATTTTTCTACAAATTTTTATAATAATAGGAACTGAATAATACTTTCTTTCACTGCCATGGGATACATTCTGACAAGTGAAAGAAAGTTATCGTCGAATGCAAATAACTAACACTACCTCTACAAAACCTACTGAGATAGAAACACATAAATGACTTTTATGGCTTTTATTCATTTCACAACAAAAGTTATACAATATAACGTCTACAAACTTATTGAATTTTCAATGCAATTAAATAAATGTAGCCATAAATTTCTTTCTACTATCACTCTTGTCATCAACAAATATTGTCAGCATCAGTTTTATCAATATTATTCCAACAGACACCCCCCCAACAGCCAAGACAATTTTCACCACCAAGAACCTATTCATTAAACTTAGTTTTAACTTGCTGCGATAAATAGTGGGATGTCTGCGATTCCATTCTCAGTATAGCTAAAAGAAAATGAATGACTTAATGGACAGGACACCAGTGAGAAAAATCGATCGATTCTGTATTTCTCTCTAAAAAAAAAAAAAAAAAAAAAAACCGTGATTCTTAATATTACCTGATATTGATGAAACAAGATAATCGGATTTCGAGATCCACACTTGTCGAAGACAAACTTAATGCATCTGTAATCGTTGTGATGGTGATTTTTGTAAACACGGGTGTACGCGCTCTGTTATATTATTTTGAAATTAACTGTTGTGGTTAGGATGTTTTGTAAACAAACGTTCCCTAAGCAAGGAGGATAACCAGAGATGGTAAATTGCAACCTGGTGTTAATGTTAGTCAACTCAAATGCATTTTAAAACATTGTTACTACACTCGTAATAAATTTTGTCCTGGGTTAGTTGCTTGCTTTTGGCACAGAGGGTCTTGAGATTTTGTTTATTATTTTCATGGTGTAGTATATTGGTGTTGTCAACTAGCATTTTCCTGTATTGGAAACGATTACAATTACATTAAGTTTGACTTTGCAATTCCCTCCTGAACATGATCTCGAAGGAGATCGACAGTACTTTGATTAACAAAAAATACGGCGCCTTCCTTGCTGAATTTCATCTTAACATGAAGATAATTAGAGATCTAGAAAAGATTATTATAAAAATAAACAAACATAATATGTCTATATTATTTAATAAATACTTATTAATAAATATACATATTACCTCTCACCGCTAGCACGACTCGGTGTTTGATGCACGACGCAATCTTCAGGTGCTGAGTATAAACTGACCGTTACGCAATTTGAATTATAATATATCTGGTTATCACAATGTTGGTGTAGTTATATATTATGTTGGAATTACACCGTATTAATTTTAAAATTATATTTGGCAATTAAAATAAGCGGGAATTATATATATATATATATATTCTGTTAAGCCACGTTGAGCCTGGACAGTACCTAGATGGGTGACAAACAAGTTGAAAATTTACTGAAAATAATTCAATACTGAGTCGCCATTATTCCTTATTAATTCGGTAACATATGAATGCCTCCAGCTTCTAACAGAGTTCAAGTATCATTTCACTGTTTGTCGCAATGTGCTTTGGTCATATCACGTTCGCTTACGATCACTGAAGTTAAGCAACGTTGAGCCTGGTCAGTACTTAGATGGGTGACTACTTGGGAATACCAGGTGCTGCAAGCCTGGATGGGTGAGTGGTGTAATTGCTGGTAATTGCTCGGGATTATTAATCAAAGAGTCGAGTTCCAATTCCAGTTAGGTTCGTTATATTCACTTACGCACAAATACCCTTGGGAAAGGTAAGAATCCTCGTTCTCTCACCCCAGCTATGAGTTATTTAGTAAGGCTTGCATCACTAAAATAGAATTATCTCAAAAAGAAATTCTCACAATCTAAAAGTATTTTCTGGCTTTAAATAACCTTCAGAGGATTGGTAAGCCATAGAAAAAGAAATCAATTAATCATACATATATATATATATGTGTGTGTGTGTGTGTGTATGTATACACTCATACAATCATATATGTATACACAAACACACACACACATATATATATATATATATATATATATATATATTCATTCACACCGGTATATGTATACGCACACATGCATATATATATATATATATATATATATATATATATATATATATTAGGAATTCAAAACTGTATGGTGAAGCATTGACTCGATGATCCCGAACACGGTCGATAGCACATAATATCGTTCAAAACTCATCCTTGTATATTTACGTTTTGGCCAATTCATTCTTTATCTCTCACCTGGTATAATCCATCAGGACAAAAATAAGAAATCACTAAAGTCTGGCGAAGATTATACCTAACCAAGAATAAAGAATGAATTGAATGAAACGTTTTGTTAACAACAGTAACTCTACAAAACACCATGAGGCGTATATAAACAGTTCTTTCTTTCGTAATCATTTTAGAATTTCCTAACTCCATGTATAGCAAACCTGTTCAGTTGAATTTATGTCAATCTGATCTTCCTGTCTCATGTCCTCAGGATTATTTTGTCAGAGTTCGGTGTTCTGGCCTAGTTAAAAACTAGGATGCTAGGTTATTTAAATGCTGATTCTCTATGACGGCCCTCAGGAAATTTTGGAAAATTATCGTAACACAATCTCCATCTGAACTCTGTAATTTCTTCATCTTTGGATTTTTACTGCAAAACTTAGTAAATTCTAAAACGTTACCGTCTTTCCCTACTGATCCTGTAATTGCTGTTCAAGTTCAGATACAAAATGTATTCAAGGTAAATAACATTTAAAAATACAGTCCGTAGAGTTCTATACCAATCAGTATGTAAGCAAATATATGGATATAGATCTTCCATGTTATAAAGTGAATTCAGGTTTGTATTTCAAGTAGACAGTATATTTGCTTACATACTGTCTAGTATCTAAACCTATTCATATCTATTTATCTATTTTATCTACTTCATGCCAAACTGAAGACTGAGTTTACTGAGGAAAGCTTGATCTTTTCACCATCGTAGAAGACAATACATTCATGTACATATAAATTCCTTGCTTTGGGTGAATATAACACAAGGTCAAATATTTGAGTAATGGGAGTAAAAAGAGTGTATTGCGCCAATCTTCTCGGTAGGGCAATCTTATTGAACTGAATGAAATATTCAAAATTATAGCTTTTACCTGAACTAGTATTAAATACAAAAATACCGTATTTACGACGCAGCTCATTTTCTCTCATCCTCAATTTCGTTTGTCTCTTTAAATGCCCATGAAAACTTTTGATCTGAAATTTTTCCTTTAATCAGGTTTATTTCACATTCTTGATCAACTTTCTGCTTTGAGTAGTTTTCAAGTCCCTTCCTTAAGTACAAAGTCGATAAACTTCTAAGTCCTCTTCTTCGCAATTAAATTATCTAAAGCGTCGTCTTTAGGATCAAGGCTACACGGATGCTGATCAGTTTCCGCGTACTTTTCTCTCTTGTTCATCTTAAGAATCATTATTCATGAACGTTCACGACAGTAGTAATTGATGGCTTACACCGCAGATACTGTCTTCTGAATGGTTCCAACTCATTCCCTGATTTCCAGTTCTGACCGGTTTTTTTTTTTTTTCGTTCAAAGCGCACCTTTAACGTCACCTTCATATTCCACGACTTTCTCTCTTCTTTGACAAGGTCGAGATACTTATTTACTTTTACTGCCAGAACAATAATATCCACAATCTGTCATACATTTCTCATATTTACTAATATCAAATCCTGTCTTCTAGCCTGGATTGGAGGATTAGTTTGAATCTCAAATGTCCCAAATTTTATGTGTTTCAGTTATTAATTTTGAATATTCTTGTTATATGAGCTGCAACTAAAAGCTTCAATATACAAGATAACATTAACTGATAACAGTAGGTTTGACTTAAGAGTTGGGCAAGCGGAATAAAAAGAAGAATATCAAATGAAATTTTTAGTGTAAGATTTTTAAAATTGGTTTAAAAAACAATTTTAAAAATTTTAGAAGAAATAAAATTATGATGGTTTAAGAATTGTTAAAAAGTTGAAAAATTGTTGAAAGATTTAAAATCTTCAATGCCAACATTAGATGATTTTTAATAAATCAAATACAAAGGGTAGTAATAGCAGAAGCAACAGCTGCAGTAGTAGTGGTAGTAATAGTAGAGTAGTAGTGTTTGGTACGCACTTACATGGCCATTTTGTCAGATCGGGTAAAATATACGAAGCCCAATATGACACACAGTCTGATTAGAGCACTTGTATCACAACCAAATGAGCACAACGTGGTGAGATATTTTTTATGAAAGCAGTGCATAACATTTTAGATTAAAAATACCTGCTTAGATGGTTTCCGATTGAGAGAGTTCTCAAGTGTCTAGATGTGTTTCACAAGTTGCCTTGGTTGCAAACTTAAAAAACAAACCTATCGACATGGCCATGCTGCTTCTCCCACACTCCTGCTCGTGCTCAGAGATGTACAGTGGTCAACCCCTAGGGGGCATCTTCAGCTAGTTAGTGTCAGGCAAATCATAAGCAAAGTCGTGGTACTAAATGAGATATTTTATATTGTCCATCTTAACTCATTAAGACAAAAAACGTACATGTTAAGAAGTATGCGTGGTGTAGCACCAGGATAATTATTATTATTATTATTATTATTATTATTATTATTATTATTATTATTATTATTATCTTTCCTTTGATTTCTAGTGTATACTCATTTCTTTCCGTGTCTCAACCAGAGACCTAAGATCAGAAATGGCATCATGAACTTTTCCACTGAGCAGTTTTGAAAAGAAAGTCACATATTTTACATAGGTAAAGCCCTTCGTAAGGTGTGGCCTGTACTTGTGAGAAAAACTTTTTGTATTTCTTTAAGGCAGAATCCTTTCAATGTGTCTATTGGAATCTTTTCCAATCTATCCGAAGGCTCCAACTACAACTAGAATTTTTGATGTCCTCATGTGCCACATTTTTGAGATTTCGATTTCAAGGTCCTTGTATTTTGATAGTTTTTTGAAGATCTTCAATGATACATTACAGTCTGTAGGGATTGCCATGTCAATAAGAAGGTACATTTGTCTTGCGATATATGGGTGATTGTTCTGTTTGTGTATATTGTAAAGTCCCATAAAATTGTTACAGGTCCTATCTCCGTGACCGGGCCTGGGTGGTTTTCATACTAATTTCTTGTAGTTTTCCCTTCCGTAGAAGTTGCAGATTTTCCAGCGCAGATATGGCCGAGATTTATATTCAGTGGATGCCAATACCGTGCAAGATGGTCAATTGTTTCTGGATATTTATCACAGAATCTGCATTTTGGGCTAACACAATTTTTCAGTATGTGCGTTTGGTAATTTCTAGTTAGCAAGAATTGGTCTTGTGCAGCAAGAATAAATCTTTCGGTTTCAGTTTTTCCCCGCACTATGTAGCCACTGATGGGTATGGGGTTTGTCTACATCAGCGTGCTTAGTGCAGGCAGAGTATTGACCGTGAAGCGGTTTATCTTGCCATTGTTTCTGTATCTGGTTGGCTGCATTTGCCTTGGCTTTCTTTTTTAAGTATTTTGCAGCTGCAGTAGGTGTACTATGCTTTACTTGCATTTCTTCATCAATCTGAAACTCTATTTTGAACTTGTTGGCTTCTTTTATTACTGAATAATGTTCCTTACTTCTTTCATGTTCTTTGGCATGGATCATCATCCAGTCTTCTGTAGTTTCCAGGTATCTTTGAAGGTCAGTTGTTGTAGTTTTGTAAAACAGTTCTAGTTGAACTAATCCTCTGCCTCCTTCGGATCTGGATACATACATCAGCCTCCGAATAATGCACGTGATGACAGGTAAGAAGCTTTCTCGTTTTAGCGTCTATTCGTTTAATGTCACGTATGATCCAGTTAAGGATGTTGAAACTGTATTATACCACAGGGACAGCTAATGTGCTTGCAGGTGATATTCTGGGTTTTTTTTGGGAGGGGGGTAATTCAGCTAGGTATTCAGTACTAGATGCACACGACTGTAGTACTCCATTCTTACTTTCTCCTTCATTTGGTTATGCTGTATTCCATCTCCTTCTTTAATTCCTAGGCACCTATAGGCTTCTCCTTGTTCCAGGTCCTTAAACTTTGTGACAAAATCTAAATCTATTGAGTGTTTCTGTAATTCTCTTTTTCTTGAATGTTACTTTTTCACATTTATCTAATCCGAAATTCATACTGTTGAAACTTGACTAATGCATGGAATAATAATGCAACACAAAATGTACTTAGAACAAAATGTATTGAAACAAGAAAGTGTACACAATATTTACATATAGTCTTTTGTATATTCCTGGTAAGACCGTTCCTGGAGAATGTGTTGACTGAGTCGCAGTCGGGCAGAGTCTCTGGTTGAATCTCTTGATTCCTCTCTCTCTTCCCAGTACCAACCATATTTATATGGTCGGTACTCCACTATGCAAATTAGGTGGATCCTACCACAACACATACCTATGTCGTAACTGAAACATTTTACAGTATTGAGGAGAGCCTACAACTCATTGTCGTCTTTGGCAAAAAATTTGAGATCATCCATGTAGAGTAGGTGATTGAATACTTTCTTGTTTAGTTTGTATCCATAGTTATTATTGTTTAGTTCATGCGTAAGGGGGATGAAGGACAGACGAAACAGGTAACAGGGAG